GCTGTGGATTGAATTAATGGATGGCAAGGTATGCTGATATGTCTGTGATACAATTAATTATTCACTGTGACACTCAAGCCAAAGTCTTTGCAACTTCCACCAAATGATGAGGCAGGACCCTGCAAATGTGAGGTGCTTAAACTAGAAACAGATTAGGTCCAATGGTCCTAGGGACCCTGTGCTGAGAACCTCCTTGACCCAGGAGACAGAGAAAACTGTAAGACATTGCTGAGAGGGGGAGAGAGACTGTAAGAGGCACCAGCAGAGAAATAGTAGGAGCAGAAACAGAAGACTGGCAAAAGACCACAGTAGATGGCATGGTGGGCTTCTGGGCTCATGGAGCAAGAAAGCTGAGCTTCTTCAGACACCTTCCCTCTTCTTTTAAAAATTTTATTAATCATTTCATTGGGGGGCTCTTACAAATCTTATAACAACCCATCATTCAATTGTATTAAGTACACTGTACATACGTTGCGAACATTTCCAAAATATTTTTTCTACTTGAGATCTTGGTATCAGCTCCTCTTTTTTCCACTCCTCCCCCCTCTCATGAATCCTTGATCAAGGATATATTATTGTTGTTATTTTGTGTCTTACACTGTCCCTTGTCAATGCAATGCTTTACCAACCATGATGTCCTTTCCCAGAGACTTCTCCTGACATGTCCAAAATATGTCCAAGTATTGCCATCTTTGCCTCTAAGGAGCACGCTGGCTGTACTTCTTCCAAGACAGATTTATTGGTTCCTTTGGCGTTCCATGGTACTTTCAATATTCTTTACCAGAAAAATGATTCCAATTATTGAGTTCTTCTTCTTTGGCCTTCCATATCCAATGTCCAACTTCCACATACGTATGAGGTGACTGAAAACACCCTGGCTTGGATCAGGCATACCTTAGTCCTCAAAGTACCATCCTTGCTTTTCAACACCCGAAAGAGGGCTTCTGCAGCAGATTTGCCCAGTGCAATGAGACATTTCATCACCTCAGAGCTGGTTCCATGAGCATTGATTGTGGATCCCAGCAAGACAAAAGCCTTGACAACTTTCGATCTTTTCTGTTCACCGTGCTGTTACCTACTGGTCCAGTTGTGAGGATTTCAGTTTTCTTTACATGGAGTTGTCATCCAAACTGAAGGCTGCAGCCCTAGATCTTCAGCAGCATGTGCTTTAAGCCTCCCGGCCATCAGCAAATGTGTATGTGTATAAAACTGAGTGTGCCCAGTAAAGCCACAGCATCTGATATCACGTGCACCCTAAGTGGACAGCAGTGGAACAGCCCATTGTTTTCTGATAAAAATCCGTCAAGATTCAGTCAAGAGGGGCAGGGTTTGAGGACTGGGGCAAGATGGGAATGAAAACTTCTTTATGAAGCATGCGAGACACAAAACAAAACAAAAACCTTTGAGTCTACCACAGAGTGTTTTAAAACAGTCACTCGATGGCAAATCAACTGGAGAGACCTAACATCTTTGAATGGCTCCCTGGATCCAAGCTGTTTCAAGTTTTGTGTTTCTTTCCCAAGGCATAGAGTTGTTATTAAGGAGCCTTGATAGTGCAATAGTTAAGCTCTTGGTTGCTAACCCAGAGACTGGCAGTTCAATTCCACCCTAGCTCCTCCCCCTAGATGCTGCTGTGGCTTTACTGGACACATAACATTTTATACATCTATATGCTTGTTGATGGTGAGGAGGGAAGTGGCTGCCCATCTAGGAACCTCATTTCCTAGACTCCAGTCTCTTCTGTGGTCATAGCTAAATGGAACCATGGGACTGGCTTCTGTCAGATGGAATTGAGTGGGAGGGATTTACACCAATCTCAAGTTAAATCCTGAAGATGCTTCCATGGATTCTCCAATGTCCCTCTCCTTGTCTGTCAACTTCTCATAGATGCCCACAGCAACCGTGAAGGCCAAAGGTCCCTAGATGACCACACGGACAGAGCTATCTCCACATCTACTTTTCATCACCACCAACTGAACTTTCCCTGAGCCGTGAGCTGGACCCACGCTTTAATGCAGTTACGATCCTGGGGTTTCTCTGGTGTGGAGCTAACAGGTGCTCTAGCTAACACAATTCAATGACATCAAATTAGAATTTAAAATTTAATTTCCACCTAGAGTCCTGGAGGCAACGCTTGTGGTGGGAGGGAGATGGCAGATCCACAGCCTGGGGCAAGTCATCCATGAGTCAGGGCAAGGTGGAGTGTGGACACCAGTATCCCCTCTGACCATAGAACATATTGAGAACAGACACTGAGGTTATTCAGAAGACCTGATCAGATACAATTGACAACAGTCACTGGAAAGATTAAGCGGAGGCCCCAGCAGGCAGTGAGTCTGTGTGAATGGAGGAGAGATAACTCAGAAAGGGAGGGATGTAATCAATGGAATCAGCTTGAAGGGTGAAATCCATGTCACTAGGTGGTTACAAGTAGAAACGATTGAACTGGCGTGTGTTTGGCTGTGCGCATATTCTCAACAAGAAAAAAATGAGCACAATTATAGGTTAGGAAAGAAAGGCTAGTCACATTTTATTACTTCCACAACGTAGCCTCACAATAGAGGCTACCTCATGGACCCAAATGCTCTACAAATTACCAGGTTCATAAAGCCTTCGTATAACCTGTGAAAACCCTTTGCACAAAGAAGCAGTGATTTCTGGGAAGTGTTCCAGTATTCATCTTCTCAGTTTTCAGATGAATAAAACTGAGATTTCCTTCTAGTGTCCTCCCCAAACATGATTTATCACATGGAATTGACAACTTGCAAAAGACTCCCAGAATATTCCCATGACTGACTAGAGGAGTGGTGTGAGTGATGGGGGCACCCAGGTGGGCTATAAGGAATGCCCTTCCCTTCACCCCCCTTCACCAGACTGGGTCTAAATGATGGTAGGATTTCTTCATGAACTGGTCACAGGGAATTCGGTCAGCCTCTCCCAAATGCCCCGGTCTTCCAGGTGCCAAAGCAGTTGGTTTGCTGTATTTTGACTCTTTGTTTTTCAGTGGGAATTGCACATACTACCTATAGGGCAATTGTTACTGGATGTATTATTTGTTATGAAAAGGGAAGGAAGGCTTCCACACTTCTGGGTGGCGGTGGGAGGACAGGAGCAGTACCCTTGGGGACAACTCATGCGTGTGCATGAGGTTAGTGTGGGCATGAATGCAAAATGATGGGCTTAGCTACTTACCCAAGACGCATCATCACGTCTGGTGGGTGGCACTGGTCTCATAGGATTTCCCAGGTGATCGATGTTCAGTTAGCAGTTTAATCACCACGGTTACCTTATACTAACCATAAAATCCCTCATTTTAGCATGGCATCTTTTTGGAGAACCCCTCCCTATTTTATTTTTCAAGTCTGGAATATCCTAAGAAAAGATTACAAACAATTCTAAGATCAAAACTGAATTTAAAAAAATAAAACCTGGATTTTCTCTCAGGCCCTCGGTTTCCCCTGCCCGCTGGGTTGGGCACCGAGGAGGTAGCAGAGGTGAGGCTGTAGAAGGGTGAGCAGGCTGGTGGAAAGGGGCACCGGGGCAGTCACCAGACCAGGATCTTTTCCTAGGTGGGGGGGGGGGGGTTACGTGCAGGAAGCCAGGCTTAGGACCTTCTAAATGCTTAGGACCTTCTATGGACTCCCCAAAGCCACCTCTCAACCGTTTAGCGGCTCTATTGCTATTTTGAAATGTTGGCCCTTCCTTCCTTCCTTCCTTCCTTCCTTGTCCCAGAATCCTCTGTGTTCGTACTTTCTGAGGGATCAAGCCGATCAAAGCTTCTGCTGAAATTAACCTCTGCTTTTTCCCTGTTTCAGAAATAAAGCCACTCTCAATGGATATGGAACGTGCATGCTGGAACTGCATCCGCCCCAGACACAGGCACCCCCCTGCAGACGGGCTCTGCCCCAGAGCATGCTTGGAGTGTGACAGGTCACAGTCCTCCCAAATCCCGAGTCCTGGCCCCAGGAGGCGTCCCATCCCCAGGAGGCTGCCGAGGCTCTTGGCGTAGTGAGTTTGAGGAGTCCTCCCATCTAGAATCAGCGGACAGCTTCTGGGCTGCTGCTGGCCGCTCTCAGGCCACCTGTCAGGATCACTCTACTATTGGGCGGGGGCGGGAGCGTGGAGCGACGAGAGCCCTGGGGCCTTCGTTGCATAGTCACCTAGTTTTGGGGTTTCTACGCCGTGTCCTGTCAGGAATAACACGCATCTCCCACTGTGACAGCGTTCTCAAGGCACGAGAAGAATTGGGACGGACTCTTCAGTATAGCAATGAGAATTTATTCTGAACCTTCTTGATAAGAAACGAGGAAGAGGATCATTCCCAGAGGCAGGGGAAGGAGCAAACCATCGCAAGGACCGGCACCACGCTCTCATTCTGCATCGTGACTCTTTGTAATGAGCATGTTAGGCTTTAAAAGAAAGCGGATCTCTCAGCCACGGCTTCGTTTAGGCTGGGGATCTGATTCAGAGACGCGAGGGCAGGGGAGCAATTTGGTAAGCTGAGCGCTTGACTTAGCAAGTGATGGGACTTTGGTCCCAGCCTGCCTTTTAGGGTGCTGGCGATAAGAAATCCCCGTTCTAAAGAACAGTCCCCTTGGTTTGATAGCCGCCTGCTTTGAAGTGGGCCCCTGGGTGGCACAAGCGATTTGTCATTGCAAGCCTAAAGGTTGAAGGTTCAAACCCGCCCAGGGGTGCTGTGGAAGAAAGACCTGGCACACTGGCACGTGGCACACTGCTGGCACGGCGTGCCTGTTTGGTTTTCTCATTTTTGGCCTTGAAACGAGAAAGTCCCCAGGTCCGAAACGGAAGCCTCTATGGAATGTGACAGTACGAGGAGTCTCTTGGCTTTCCCTGCACAAGGTACCTTCATTGTTTGCCGCGAGTCTGTTGGCAAAGTTAGCGTTCCGGGACTCTGAACATAAAATTCAGTCATCCCCTCCTCTCCCCCCACTTTTTTTTTTGGTTAGCTAGAAGAATAGACAAAACATAACCCTCTTTGGAGCAGCATTTAATGTACAGAGAAGGACGAAGGAAGCAGGAACCACCGGTATTCCACGAGGGTAGCAGCGCAGTGAGGAGCCAGCACCTCCTTCCCGGGGAGTGTCCCCTGCTGTCCCGCAGGAGTGGAGCCTGCGGAGAGGTGACTGGCTGGCCTTGCCTCAGCACCCTCTCCATGAAGGGCTGGAAACGGACTGTGGTGGCAATTGTACATTTCTGCTGGATGGGACTGAACGATGGAATGATATGATCCATGTAGTAACTCCCGATTAATAAAAAAGTTGTTTTGGTCTTTTTTCCAGACGAGTTGCTTTCATTCCAGCCGGTATCTGATCGGGCAGAACAAGGACGGAAGAGCGGCTCTGGCAGGATTCCAGGCAGGGTCTGGTGAAGCAGTGCAGGGGCCGGGCAGCAGTGGCCGTCTCTGGAGTACTCAGAGCTCCCACCCCATTCCCCTGGGTGGTCCTGGGCAAGGTCTTTCCAGGTGACCTTGGTGATGACCACGGGCCCTGCAGCCACACCTGCACTGGTACCTGGAAGAGCTTTCCATACACTTGTGCCTGTATCCACTTTAAGAAGTTTGGGAAACCATTTCGTTTGGGGGCCCTCTTCCCCTCTCTCCCCCTCAGTTTGTGTTTGCTCTCTCCGATCTAACCCCCTGGTCTTGGCAGCTTCTCTTGTGTCACATTCTCAGAGGGGAGGCTTCCACCGGAGGTGCCTGGATCGACAGACTAGGCGGCCCTTTGGGATCTGCTTCTTTCTCTCTAGCAGCTTCCATGCAAAGCACGTCAGAGGCCAGACCCAGCCCGGTGGTCCCCCATGTTCTCACTCCCACCACCCAACGCCTGCCATGGTCCCACTCCTACTACATAAGTGACAAGTCCCAACGCTAGCCCACGGTCTGCCTGGCACACCACGTTAGCCTGTCGGCTTTCCTCGCTCACCTTCCCAGGCTGAGCTGGGACACGTCTTCTCTCACAAACCTTCTCAGGCTTCCTGCCTCACCACTCACTTTGCAGACTGCACCCTAACCCTTAACCCCTGGCCTCTTAAGGTAGCCCCCCAGCCTTTGGCCTCAGCCAGGTGCCCCTCTGTCTCACTTCTGTCTGTCCTTCACAGTCTCCATCTTCACTGGACCCCAGCAGACGCGTCATGGCCTCCATGGCCTGCCTTTTCATAGTGCGCCTGTCCCCGGAGAAGATAGCCAATTCAGTGGTGACTTGTGGTGGAGGTCCACCAAGCTCTCCTCTGGAACTCACGGCCCACCTGCCCTGCTCTCTCCTCTGCCCCCTGCCGGGCCCGCGGAGACAAACCTGCAGCAGTCACAGCGGGCTGGCCACCGCAGGCTGGGAACGCCACACGTGTGCCCCCGCTCCTCGGTCTCCAAGCCCCCTCCTGCTCCAGAGGGGTGAACGGACCACCCTGCTCTCTGCAAACCTGGGTGGCAAAGATGAGCCCGGCCAGCTTTCATGACCACACGTGACCGCGATTTGCTGCTTGGCTTCCAGAGACACACAGCTCCCTGGGAAGAGGCCACCGGGTGATTCTGACCTCGGAAGCCACACCGCATGGACCCTAGCGAGGCTCTAAGGGTGTCTTGATTTGGGGACACGTCTGATTTGCTTTGTTTGGCTGGGGAGCGTGTGTGCGTTTTCTTTCCCCTCTTTGTACTAGAACTTCCATTCTCAGAGCAGCGTGGAGGAGGAGGATAGCTTTTAGAGGTGCTTAATGTCTTGCTCTCCACTTCCTGAATCGTGTTACCTGCCTCCCATCCCCCATGCCCCAAGGGGGCATCTGGATTCGCGGAGGAATAGAACCTTCTTTATACAATCCACGGTAGGACTGTAATTTTACTTTCGAAGCACTCGCTTCCCGGAGGACTGAGGTGATTGATACCACTGTCAGAAACCCAGATGCACACACTCATCCATCAGCCAGGAAATTACATCCACAGCTCACCCAGCAGGACCGCACCGACTCACCCACCGGCGCCCCTTGTGACCCAGAGGTGATCGGAAACTCGGGGCAGCAGCAGAACACAGGCAGAGGAAGAGGGTTGGCCTCTCGCGGGCCCACCTGGGTTGGCCCTGGCCCCCTCCGGCGCCCAGAGGCAGTGGTTGGGCTTGCACGGCCAGGACCAGGGAGAGGGGTTGGAGAGATGTGGGCAGTGCCAGGTCGTCCTCGTGGTGCATGCATGTGGCTCGGGGAGGTTCTGCCCACATACCTTCATCCGTTTGCAGGCGGAGACGATGTGGATGGACGTGACCTACCTAGGCTAAGCTTGCACTACGATAGTTAGTCTCTTAGGAGGGCAAGTCTGTGGATCCCAGCAGGATGGGCAGATGCTGCTAAGAAGGGGTCTGAAAAGGAAGGGCGGTAAGAGGGCGGAAAAGTGGAAAGCGGTCCAGCCAGCCCCGGGTGGATAGTGGGTGTGAGGGCGGCTTATCGGTAGCGGCAGGCCAAAGCATTGACGTTCTTGACCACATAAAAGCCCATGGTGACTGGAGGGATGACCAGTGTCCGGCCAGCCCGCAGGGGGCGGGGCTTCAGTTCTGGAAGGGTCCCATCGTCCACCATCACTAAAGGCTGGCCGTTCAGCTGCACTGACCTGCAGGGAGAGAAGACGGAGGTAGGTGTGTTATGGTAAGTGAGCGTCCCACACTCTACCTGATGCGGGGACAGCTGACACTCCCTGTGCCCCCGACTCTGGATGGGAGCTTCACCTGGATCGCCCACTCAGTCACCCTCACCACCCGCAAGGTAAGGAGCGATGTCCAGAGAGTAGGGACGTTTCTTGAAGTCATAAGACGACAGACCATCACTAAGGCGACGGCAGCCCTTTCACGCCCAGCCCTCTGCACCATTAACCAAAGGGCCCTGGCAGTTCGGGCTGACTCTCCTCTCTGGACTCGTCCAGTGGGGCACACTGGCACCCGTTGCCACGGAGTAGATCCCAGCTCAAGGTGCTCCCATGCGTGCCAATGTAGAACCGTGCTCCGTACCGTGGCCAATGGCTGGCTTTGGGAAAGTAGATCACCAGACCTTTCACCTCTGTGTAGACTTGAACCTCCAACGTTTGGGTCAGGAGTTGAGGCTGATAACCCTTTATGCCACCCAGGGGCTCCCAAGGATGCAGAACTCCCAAACCCAAACCCTCTTTCTCTCCAATCGATTCCGACTCCTGCAGCAACCCTCCAGGGCAGGGTAGAACGACCCCCTAGGCCAGCGGTTCTCAATCTGTGGGGTCGAGACCTCTTTGGGGGTCGAACGACCCTTTCACAGAGGTCGCCCCATTATTCATCGCAGCAACAAAATGACAGTGAGGAAGTAGCCACGAAAATCATTTTATGGTTGGCGGGTCAGCACCACATGAGGAACTGCACGAAAGGGTCGCGGCATGAGGAAGGTGGAGAACCGCTGCGTGGGCTTTCCAAGGCCGAACATCTCCATGGAAGCACACGGCCATCTTTCTCCCAAAGAGTAGCAGCTGGGTTCAAACCACCTTTTGGTGGGTGGTTGAGCGCTTTAGCCACCGCGCCACCTGGGCTCCTCCAATGATGCGCAGGCTCCATGCTTTCAGAAAACCTTCCATCTGATTCCAAAGTAAACCGTGCTTTCCACAGACTAGCAGACCGCTGCCGTCAGCACGCTGCACATCGAGGGCTGCACCAAGCAACTCGATGCCTCCTCCTCTAAGAGGGAAGTTTCCTGTTTGATATGCCACGGGCGTTTCCATGTGAGCAGCACTATAGGTTGGAAAGCAGATACGTGTGCGATCACACGTTCCCAAGCTTGCTTGCCGTGTTTGTCAACCGCGTTCAAGCCTGAGAAGGAAGGAGGAGCCAGAGCGAATTTAGCGAGCAAGATGAGACCCCGCTCCTCTGAGGCTGGATTCCAGAGACGTGCCCCCCACCTGTGGCCTGCGGTCCAGACGCCCGACTCCTCCCAGCTCTTTCTGCAGGGGCGTCTGTGCCCAGGGGGAAGCTCAGTGCTACGGGTCGGAAGAAAAGATCAGAGCTACGCTACTAGCTGGAAACAACGTGGGAGTCACTCTCCCAAAATCAGCGCGCATCATGATGGCTTGCCCAAACTCCGGGCAATAACGTCACCATGCAATCATTGAAGTTGTAAAAGAGAAGACATGTTATAAATTGATAGAAAGGTTTTCGTGCGGCGTTCCTTCTGTGTTATGCATGACAGACAGGTTTAGGGAGAGCTAATCGAGACCCATGCCCACTAGAGCAGTGAATTCCCAGAGATACCACAAGCGGGTTGTAAACGGCTCCCAGGGGAAAGCGAGGCAGAGAAGCAGCTCCAGGCTTCAGTGGGATTGAGCTGAGCCCAGATCTGACCGGCCAGGGAGAGCAGCCTTCCTCCCCCTGCTGCAATTGCTGGATGGATTCGACCTGGGTGGGATGAGGAGTTTCTGGTGAAGAGACAGACCTGCCCTGGATGTTCTGGGGCTGGGAGAATTCAGAACTGACCTTGTCTGCTATGCAGAGAGTGATTGCTTCTGAATGCGGGTGACCGTGTCTGGCAAAGACACCTACTCATCGGGGAGGGGTGAGGAGAGGGCTCTGGGCTGCGATAGAAACACAGGTGGGTCTTGCTGTTGTTAGCAGCCTTCAAGTCTGTTTCCACTCGTAGCAATCCCAGGCGTGACAAGGAAACGCCTCCCCGTCCGGCACCACCCTCACGATTGCTCTTATGCACGAGCCCACAGTGGTAGCCACTGTGTCCATCCACCTTGTTTCAGGTTTTTCTCTTTGCCACTGTCCTCTGTTCGACCGAGGATGATGGCCTTTTCCAATAACACCTCCAAAGTTCCTGAACGAAGTCTTCCCCTCTTGGCTTCCAAGGAGCATTCGTGCTGTGCTTTTTGAAAGAGAGATCTGTTTGTGCTTCTGACTGTCCATGTACTTTCAATATTCTTGGCCTCACCACATCCAAATGGATCGATTCTTCTGAGGTTGCCCTTAGTCTTCTGCAGTGCTCCTTAGCCGATGCCCGACTTTCACACGCATATGACTTATAATCGCTCACTGCCTACCGCAATTAGACTCATAGCGACCCCACAGACAGGGTAGAGCTGTCCCTGTGAGTTTCCAAATTGTAACTCTTTGTGGGAGTAGAAAGCCTCGGCTTCCTCCCTCAGAGAGGCGTGTGGTTTCAAATGACTGACCTACTGCAGTTAGAGGCCCCGATGCATGTGAGGTGACTGAAAATACCCTGACGTGGGCCAGGCACACCTTAGTGCTCTGAGTGACATCCTTGTTCTTCAACACCTTAACGAGGTCCTTGTGCAGCAACTTGAGCCACCGCAGTGTGTCACTTTATTTCTGGACTGCTGCTTCCATGAGCATTGACTGGGATCCAGGCAAGATGAAATCCTTGACCACATCAAACTCTGTTCTCTTTATCATGATGTTGCTTATCGGCTCCCTTGTGAAGATTTTGGTTTTCCTTAATTGAGTTGCAATCAGATTGGAGGCTATAGTCCTTCATCAGGCAGTGCTTCAAGGCCTCCTTGCGTTCAGCAAGCAAAGCTGCGTCATCTGCACAGCTCAGGTTGTTACTAAGCCTTCCTCCAATACCAATGACACATTCTTCTTGACATCATCCGGTTTTATCTCATATTATCTGCTCACCATCCAGACGGAATGAGTATGGTGGAAGGATACGACCCTGCTGCACACATTTCCTGATCTTAAACCCTGCAACATTCCCTTGTTTTATTCGAATGGCTACCTCCTGGTTCTGCAGGAGCACAACGAAGGGTTCTGGGATTCCTCAACGCTATCCATTGTTTGTGTTGATCCACGAGTTTGTTGTGATTCTACAAGAGTTGAATGCTTTTGCATAGTCAATAAAACACAAGTGAGCATCTTTCTGGTAGTCTCTGCTGTCCGCCAAGATCCAGCTGACGTCAGCAACGAGAGCCCTCCTGCCACGTCCTCTTCTTTATCCGGATTTCTGGCAGCTCTCTGTTGACAGACGGCTGCAACCATTGATGGAAGATTTTGAGCACAACTTTATTTGCATGTGACATTAATAATATCGTTTGATAATTTCTGAATTCTGCTGACCTCGGCGTGCCAGTTGGCCAGGTAGCTGTCTTCCAGATTTCTTGGCATAGGTGAACGAGTGCCCCCAGCTTGTTGAAACATTTTCATTGGTATTTCCTCAATTCCCTTGCTTTTCATTTGTGCCTTTGTTCAGCTTGAACTTCTTCCTTCGGTATCATTAGTTCTTGGTCATATGCTGCTTCATGAAATGATTGAATGTCAACCAGTTATTTTTGGTACAGTGACTGTGTATTCCTTGTACTTTCTTTTGATGTTTCCTATATCCTTCAAACAGAACATTATATGGAGCCGACCGATGGAGAATACAGTGGCCATTCCCTCTTATAATGTTCACCAAGGGCTTTGTACTTACAAAAATATTCTAGCTACATAATCTTGTTAACCATCCAGAAACGTTTGACACAACTTTTCAAATGGTCTATTGTGATGTTGACAATCACTTGGGCCTCTTTCAACACGATAAACTATTCCACAAAGTGAGGTTTATATTTCTGTTATTTGTAGGGTCTGCAGATGCAACAGTTTCAGATTTTAAAATAGTTTCACTTTCTATGACATTCATTTTGCCTTCTATACTGTAACAAGAAATAGTTGCAGGATTTGGAATACATTCTATGATAGCTGTATTACTATTAGATGAAGTGGGTTATGTATTGGGCTACTAGCCAAAAGGCCAGCAGTTCGAAGCCAGCAGCACTCTGCAGGAGAAAGCTAAGGCTTTCTGCTCTCGTGATGATCTACAACCTTGGAAACTCACAAGAGCAGGTCTATGAATAATTTAACACTAGCAAATACTAGCAGGGTGGTTGGCATTCATTCAACTCAAGTGTAGAATGGGGGAAAAATCTCTTCTGATTAATTACATTTTAAAAAGGAAGTTAATTATGGAATTATCTTTCGAGATTTACAAATCCTCTTAAAAAATCTGGGGGTGTTCCCTTGAGCCCTCTACTTAGCTGCTGTCATTTCATTTTATATGGATCTAAAGTGACGTCACTTTTAAAATTTAGCAACACCCTAGCAAATCTTTTTGAATAAGTGAAAAGTCATACATTGCATAAGACAAGTAAAATGAATAAAATAAGTTTTCATTTGAATTTGGACCTTAAAAAAAGACAAAGAGTTTCCTACCAAAGGAAAGAGACTTTGGAGGTGACCAGGACAGAGAGGAAAAGCAAGAGAAGATGAAATAGTTGGCAAGAGGGCTGGCAGGTGCCATTGAAAGGGAAGAGGGTCATCCATGGAAGGGAAAAGAGATATGAAAGGGAGGGCGTAGGGCACGTTGAAGGGGGCTAGATACGTAGCTTAAATGGCTGAGTACAACACTGAAAGTCTGAAATGTCAACTCCCACCTAATTTACCCTAAAAAAATAGCAAACAAAATCATAGAAACTGTGAAAAGATCCGTGGTTAGTAGGAGGCCCAAGATGTGGAGAGCCCAGAGCATTTTGATCCTCTGTGCGCGCAGTCCTTTGGAGGTGTGGCGGGATTGTGTATGAGACCGTAACCACGGGCACATAAC